TCATAGTGACTCTTATGTACAGCACAACAAAACACTGCCCAGTACCATGCTTTGGGTTAGGCACACTTTAGTCTTCAAAGTGACATCTTTGTTTCTTAACACTTTAAAGAGGTCTTTTGCAGCAGATTTGCCCGGTGCAATACATCTGATTTCCTGACTGCTGTTTCCATAGGTGTTGACTGTGGATCCAAGTAAAATGAAATCTCTGCCAACTTTAATCTCTTCTCCACTTATCATGATGTTGCTTATTGGTTCAGTTGTGAGGATTTTCATTTTCTTCATGTTGAGGTGTAATCCATACTGCAGATGGTAGTCTTTAATCTTCATCAGTAAGTGCTTCAAGTCATCTTTACTTTCAGCAAGCAAGGTTGTGTTATCTGCATATTGCAGGTTGTTTATGGTTCTTCCCCCAATCCTGATCCTGTGTTGTTCTTCATGTAGTCCAGCTTCTCGAATTACTTGCTCAGCACACAGATTAAATAAATATGGTGAAAGGATACAACCTTGACACACATCCTTCCTGATTTTAAACCGTGTAGTATCCCCTTGTTCTTTTTGAATGACAGCCTTTTGGTCTATGTACACATTTCTTATGAGCACAGTTAAATGTTCTTGAATTCCCCTTCTTTGCAGTGTTCTCTATAATATCAAGCATATAGTTGTAGTTTAACTCCCCTTTTTAAAGTCTCCTCTCTGCTCCTGCAACTCTTTCTTCAGATATTTGGGTCCTTGTTTTGGAGGTGTTGATTTCTTCTTTGGTGATTATAGTTGGTAGTGATCATCTTTACAGTGATGCCCATTCTGTTTACCAGTCTATCCGGATGGAGTAGGAGAGTGATAGGATGTGTAGTCAGATGTGGGATATAAGGACTCTCCTTCCTTCTGGGTAATAGCAGCCTCCTGGGTCCATTCTGATTTAATGCCTCTGCTCACTCAGAGTTTGCTTTTTGTGGTTGAAGGTGGAGATTGAGTTAGTAGAGGGTAGTGGCTGACTTGCCCAGTTGTGCCAAATGCATTTGGCCACTAGAGCACCCATGACTGACCTGAGCCTGCTCCTGTTTCTCCATGGCAGCCACCCTTGACTACAGTTTGAATGGAGCACTCCCATATGCTCCCCCTACTGCCATAATCCCCTTGCCATTGAGTCTATTCTGACTCATAGCAACCCTGTAGAACAGGGTAGAACTGCCTCATAGGGTTCCAAGGCTGTGTGAATCTTCTTGGAATCAGATTGCCCCATCTTTCTCCCACAGAATGGTTGGTGGGTTTGAACTGGCGACCTTTTGGTTAGCAGCCTAATGCCTTAACCACAGTACTACCAGAGCTCTTTTTTCCTACTGTAATAGCTGTTCCAGTTTTTATAGCATTCCTCTTTTGAGAGATCTGGACATTTACTATGGAGGCAGTTCTACTTGATGGTCACTGTTCTGGTTACCTAGTGCCTCTCTGACAGGAATATACCATAATTAGGATGGCCTTAACTAACAGGAGTTTATTCTCTTACAGTTTGGAGGCTTTAAGTCCAAGTTCAAAGTACCAGGCTCTAGGGGCTGGGTGAAAGCCCCTCAACCTTGGGGTCCAGCTCTGCCTCCTGCTCCTGGCCCACTGGAGCTAGAGGCGTTTCTTTACTCAGACAGCTGCTAGCTGCTGAGGCTGACAAACCCAAGGTTGACAGATAAAAAGGCACAGTCCCAATGCTACCAAACCACAGTGCCGGCCATTAAGTTAAGTCCATTGTAAGTCCCAAGGTTGGCAGAGCATGGCAGGGTGCTGTACAATGACACGGTGACATGCAGGGTCCAAGTGTGCCATAAACTAGACACCATTCCCCAAGGCTTCTGCTTATATACAGGAAGCAGACCACATCCCTAAGGCAGCTACTCAGCTGCTCACAGTAGATTCCACCATGGAGTTGATTACCAGTCTCATCATGGGGAATACTACATCCAGCTGCCCAGCAACTCAACCAGGCCCAGCCAAGTTGACACACGAACTGAACTACCACAGTCACTATGAGTCAGAATTGTCTGTAGGCAGTGGGTCTGTTTTTTCATTTTAGATTTGGACAGTTAACTGCCTCTGTCTGTCTAGTTCTTTGATAATATACCATTCTTTGTTTCTCAGAATTATTTTAGACAATAATATACCAAATCTATATCTTCAATCATTTCTAGAATTTAGGGTGGGAAGGGGTCTAAACAATCTTTTTTTTTTTTAAAAATACCATCCAGAATTCTTTTAATCCACATCTCACCAGATTTACATACATTTCATTCATCCATTCTTCCAGATCAGTGGTTCTCATAGTGTGGTCCCTGGATCAGCAGCAATGGTTATTTAAAAAAAAAACCAAAAAACAAACAAACAAAAAAACCACAACCCACTGTCATCAAGTTGATTGTGTCTCATAGCAACCCCCACTGGGTTTCCAAGGTTGTAAATCCTTATGGAAGTAGATTGTTCCATTTTCCGTCCTCGGAGTAGCTTGTGGGCTTGAACAGCCAACCTTCTGGTTAGCAGTCAAATGCTGGGAACTCATGAGAAATGTAAACTCTCACCCTAGAATGACATACAGTCCATCTTGATCTAATCTCCTGAAGCAATTTTTGAAAGGATTTTTTTTTAGAACAGATGGTAAAGTTTAATTAAAACCTTTTATCTTTAGTATATCACTTTTTGAGAGCAAAATTGATCATTGGAAATATGTTACACAGGGTTTGGAAATTGCCATACAGAGATAATTGGATAGTTTATTTTGGCCTAGTTTAAGATATATTGACGAGCTCAGAAAAGTCTTATTATTCCTTTAAGCCAGTGGGAAGGATGGAGATTATTTTCAGTCTTTTTTTTCTTTTTCAGTGTTGAGGTTTATGGTTAGTCATTTTGTTACTTTAATATTTTACTGAACAATGTGGGCTTGTCTGCAAGAGGGTTAGGTTGATTCACTATTCTGATATTTTTCTTTTTGATCTTTGTCCTAGTTTTTTAAATTGGAAAAAAAATTTTTTTTCAACACACAAATTGGACAGAATCATACCCCTTTTCCCATAAACTTTTCTATTTGTAATTATGTCCCTTGAAAACCACAGAATGTGAATTACATTGCAAGTCTATTTATTAAGTGTAAACTTGCAGTTTTTAGAAAAAAAGCCGTTCTGACTTTTTTTTTTCCTTTCCCGTTTAGTTTTTCCATGGTTTGGCTTGGATATTGGTGGAACCCTGGTCAAGCTGGTTTATTTTGAACCCAAAGATATCACTGCTGAAGAAGAGGAGGAAGAAGTGGAAAGTCTTAAAAGTATTCGGAAGTACCTGACCTCCAATGTGGCTTATGGGTCCACGGGCATCCGGGATGTGCACCTTGAGCTGAAGGACCTGACTCTGTGTGGACGCAAAGGCAATCTGCACTTTATACGCTTTCCCACTCATGACATGCCTGCTTTTATTCAAATGGGCAGAGATAAAAACTTCTCGAGTCTCCACACTGTCTTTTGTGCTACTGGAGGTGGAGCGTACAAATTTGAGCAGGATTTTCTCACAGTATGCATTCTTTAGCTTATATACAATTTATGGTAATCTAATTGTGAAACATAATACCAATAGCAGGATTGGTGGAATCATTTCCACCTCTAATGGAACTTCAGTTTTCTTGACTCAAACTAAGTTTAGATATAAATTAGTGATAATTAGGAATTAACCATGTAGAGATCATTGTATAGTTTTTTTTTTTTTTTTTTTTTGCCCACTTCAGTGTGTTGGTGAGATTCACAACCACTAAAAACAGCATTTTGTGTTCTTTTATTATTAAAACTAAAATTGAGTCTGGGATAAGCAGAGTAAAGAACTCTATTAGGAACAACATCATTAAATCTTGGAATGAGATTGAAAAATAATTTTTAAAAGGTCACGTAATTTCATGTTATAAAATTGTTTCCAGTCTCTTGTCTACCACATAATTTTTCTTGACCTCAGTTTTTTCCTGTCAGGTTCACTAAATAGAATAAGAAGGCTGGTCAGAAGTATTGCTGTTCAGACTTCAGGGCTAGTCTGAGAGGGCTGACAGCAGGCCCTCCTCTCCTTGAATGCCTTCTGATGTGCACACATATTAACCAGAGTTTTTAGATCCTGTCTGGCCCCAGAGGCCAGATTTGATTTTGTTTTCATTCATTCGACATCTATGAGCAAGACTTGTTAGTTATTGTTGTTATGTGCCGTTGAGTCGTCTCTGACTCATAACAACCTTATGTACAACAGAATGAAACACTGCTGGGTCCTATACCAGCCTCATGATCCCTACTGTACCTGAGCTCATAGCTGCAGCCACTGTGTCATTCCATCTTGTTGAGGGTCTTCCCCTTTTTTGTTGATTCTCCACTTTACCAAGCATGACATCCTTCTGAAAACATGACCAAAGTAGGTGAGATGAAGTTTGTCCATCCTTGCTTCCAAGGAGCATTCTGGCTGCACTTCTTCCAGGATAGATTTGTTCTTTTAGCAGTCTGTGGTACTTTGAGCATTCTTCATCAATACCACAAATCAAAAGTATCAACTTTTCTTTGGTCTTCCTATTCATTGTCCAGCTCTCACATGCAAATGAACCAATTGAAAACACCATGGCTTGGGTTAGGTGCATTTTAGTCTTCAAGGAGGTATCTTTGCTCCTCAGCACTTTAAAAGTATTTTGCAGCAGATTTGCCTTGTGAAAGACATCGTATGATATCTTGACTGCTGCTTCCATTGGTGTTGATTGTGGAACCAAGTAATATGAAATCTTTGACAACTTCAGTTGTTTCTCCATTTATCGTGATGCTGCTTAATGGTCCAGTTGTGAGGATCTTTGTTTTCTTTATATTGAGATGGAATCCATACTGTAGACTGTAGTCTTTAATCTTCATCAGTAAGTGCTTCAAGTCATCCTCACTTTCAGCAAGCAAAGTTGTGTCGTTTGTGTATCTTCAGTTGTTAATGAGCCTTCCTCCAATCCTGATGCCACATTCTTCTTCATATAGTCCAGCTTCTCAGATTATTTGCTCAGCATACAGATTGGATGAGTATGGGGAAAGGATACAACCCTGACACACTCCCTTCTTGGTTTTAAACCATGCAATATCCCCTTGTTCTGTTTGAATGACAGCCTCCTGGTCTGTGTACAGGTTCCTCATAAGTAAATTTAAGTGTTCAGGAATTCCCATTCTTCTCAGTGTTATCCACAATTTGTTATGATCCACACAATTGAATGCCTTTGCATAGTCAATAAAACACAAGTAGACATCTTTCTGGTATTCTTTGTTTTCAGCCAAGATCCATCTGACATTATCTTTGATATTCCTCACTCCACATCCCCTTCTGAATCCAGCTTGCCTTTCTGAAAGTTATCTGTCAAAAACTTCTGCAACCATTTTTGAATTACCTTCAGCAAGATTTTACTTGCGTGTGATATCAATGATATTGTTTGATAATTTCCACATTCTGTGAGATCAGCTTTCTTTGGAATGGGTACAAATATGGATCTCTTCCAGTTAGTTGCCCAGGTAGCTGTCTTCCAAATCTCTTGGCATAGCTGAGGGAGTGCCTCCAGTGTGGCATCCATTTGTTGAAATATCTCAGTGTTTCCTCAGTTCGTGGAGCCTTGTTCTTCACCGATTCCTTCAGTGCAGCTTTGACTTCTTCCTTTAGTACCTTTAGTTCTTGATGATATGCCACCTTCTGAAATGGATGATCATCTACCAGTTCTTTTTGGTATAATGACTGTGTATCCCATTCATCTTCTTTTGATGTTTCCTGCATCATTCAACATATTGCCCATGGAATCTTTCAGTATCGCAATTCGAGGCTTAAATTTTTTCCTCAGTTCTTTCAGCTTGAGAAGTGCCAAGCATGTTCTTCCATTTTGGTTTTCTAACTCCAGGTCTTTGCACATTTAATTATAATAATTGATTTTGTCTTCTTGAGCTGCTCTTTGAAATCTGTCAGCTTTTTTATGTTGTTGATTCTACCATTTGCTTTAGCTACTCTCCGTTCAAGGGTAAGTTTCAGAGTCTGTCTGACTGGCTGCAGTGAGCAAGGCAGTGGTGCTAAATCCTTTGGGAATAGATTGGAGATGCGTAAGAGAACGGACATGTGAGGTGGATAAGACCTTGACCTGCAGGCTGCAGTATGGATTTAGATTTAAAATGTTATGGGTGACCATGTTTTTAATGCTACCAGATGAGAATATTAGTCTGGTGGAGGTTCTGTCTTTGTTGTTCACCATGTCTGCCTTTTTTTGTGTGTGTCATTGTATGGCTTGTGACCTTATCTGCCTTCTTTTCTTGTCCTCTATCCCCTTTCCCTCATAAACAAAAAACCAAAAACCAGACCCACTGGTGTCAATTCTGACTTATAGTGACCCTACAAGACAGAGTAGAACTGCCCTGTAGGGTTTCCAAGGCTGTAATCTTTACAGAAGCAGTGTGCCATATCTTTCTCCCTGGGAGTGGCTGGTGGGTTCGAACCACCAACCTTTTCGTTAGCAGTTGAGCATTTAACCACTGTGCCACTAGGGCTCCTTCTTTCTCCCATAATTGACCATAATAATTATAACACATAATTCAAATATATTATCTAACAAGGTTTTATATCTTCTGCTTGAATTTTCCTTGGTGGTTAGTTTTCAGCAGTTTCCCTTCTACCTGTGAATAAAGGGAGAGGTAGCAGGAGGAAAGGTTTTCCTCCTTCGTAGAAGCCTTTGTGGACTCTGGACCATAATTAATAGGTAAGGGAGAAAACCTTTATTTGCAGAACCCTGTAGATGTGCCCTTTGTAACATATTTGGAAGCTATTCTGGCTGTTAGCGGAGGTTCATTGAAAGGTATCCTTGGCTGGTACAATGGTTAATGCACTCAGCTGCTGACGGAAAGGTTGGCAATTTGAGTCCATCCAGAGGCACCTGGGGGAGGGGGTGGAAGGCCTATGGATCTGCTTCTGACATATCAGCCTTGGAATGCCCTTCGGAGTATGTTTCTGCTTTGACATACATGGGGTCGTCATGAGTCAGATTTGACTTGATGGCAGCCACCACCACCACCATCTATCCTTGAAAACAGTTAAAGTCAAATCATTTTTGTGCATTAGGAGTGACTGATATTTAATAAAACCACAGTGAAATATGTTTTAAAATACTGAGTTACCATGTTTCTTTTTACACGTAAATTAGATTTTCTCACACTTTTGAGTTTGTTGTTGGTGCTACATTTACTGGGTAACGGGATGGTGAAATTATGTAAGAATTCAGTCATCTAAATATATCAACCAGTTTAAGAGTCATTGGGAGCATCAGTACAGCAGGGCACTTAAGGATAATTATGGAGAGGGTAAATGGAGAAATCAATTTTCTGACATATAATGGCACAAAACTACTTGGATTTCAGTAGACCACCAGTGGAAAATGATTTGGCTCAGAAATTAAAATGCTGGCAGATTGAGATTCAAGATATCAACATTTAATTCGTGTTGGCATGGAAGGCAGGAAATAAGGACAGTGGTGAACACTTAAAAAGTGGTGGGGTTTGGTCAGTAGAAAGGTGACTTAATATCCGCTTTCCTCCATTTTTTGCCCATGACTTAATATGCTTAATTAGGGATTAATTAATAAAGGATTGAAGTGAAGTTATGTTTTTAATTTACCATCTCTGCTGTGGATCAGAATAAATTGAGTGTAAGTATAATCACATGGGACTTGAATTAGACATAAGGGGGGAAACCTGCAGGGCCAAACGCGGCTGTGAACAGGTGCTTTAGGGGTTGAGGTACTTGTCATATAATATTGAGTATATAGGCAGTCCCCAGGTTGCAGATATCTGACTTAAGGACAACTCCTATTTGTCCTTTTAAGAGGGCTTCATACTGATTCACACTGGTTCTGTCATTGCCAAGGAAGTGAAACAGGAACAGGCTTCAGTTTTTACAGTTTGGGTGATTTGTCACAGTAACCCGAACAGGAGGAATTATGGGTGAAAGCTATGGAAAATGAGAGACTCGGGAGAGGTGCAGTGAGCCCTGTCAGGAGCCTGATGCTTGAGATTGAATTATTGGCAGGACGTGGAGAGCTGCACAGATTCAAAGTGGTGTGGTTGGCCATTATCCTTGAGTGGGGGCCACTGCTGTACGTGAGCGGCATCTTTGAGTGGGGTAGTGCTGTTTCAGCTCAAAATCTGTTTTATGTTTATGTAAATTTGCTCTTACTGTCAAAAGACTGAACCCACCCCTGCTTGCAACAAATTCATTATCACAGTCATCTCCACTTGCAGTTTTTAAGTCATTAAAAAGGAAGCCTTTTCTTGCACTAAAGTAAGGCTAAATAAGAACTGTGTGCACCTGTTCCGGCTCGCATACAAATCTGAAAGACATACTTAGGAACGAATCTCATTGGGACTGCCTGTATATGCTTGTAAGCATTCAAATAGGTTAGACGTTCATAGAGTGAAGTATAGAAGCTCCTTTTAAAGTCTCTCCAAAGCATCACTGTTCAATTTATGTACCTTTTTAACATTTTTTATGCATAACTGGTGGTGCAGTGCCTAAGGCATTTGACTGCTAACCAGAAGGTTGGCGTTTCAGTCCCACCAGCCACTCCGTGGAAGGACGACGGGGCAATCTACTTCTATAAATACATACTGCCTTAGAAACTCTGTGGGGGTTGCTAGGAGTTGGAATTGACTCGATGGCAGTGGATTTGGTTTATTTGGTTTTTGGTGCATGACTGTATGACACATATGTGCTTTTAAACATGGTTTTATAAAAATAGGCAAATTAGATATTTTATAAAATTTTTCTCACATTTTTTGACTAAAAACATGTTTTAGAGTTCTTTCCACTTTAGTACTTAAGATTATATATATATATATACACACACACACACACACACACACATATATATACACACACACACACACACACACACACATATATATATATATTTAAACATCTTGTGTTTTAGGTGAAAGTTGACATAGCAAATTAGTTTTTGACAGTTTATCCACAAACTCTTCTGTGACTTTGGTTGCTATCCTCACAATGTGTCAGCACTCTCCCTGTTTCCATCCCTCCAGATTGCCTGCTCCTCCTTGCCTTCTCATCTTTGCTTTTGGGCTAATGTTGCTTGCTTGGCTTTGTGTAGTTGATCTAAGGAGCACATTCCTCACAGGTGTTATTGTTTATTTTATAAACCAATCTTTTATTTGGATGAAGGGTGGCCTTTAGACGTGGCTTTAGTTCCAGGTTAAAAGGGTGTCTTAGGGTGCTAATCTTGGGGGTGCTACCAGTCTCTATCACACTAGTGAGTGTGTTGTTCTTTGTGAATTTGAGTTTTGTTCTACATTTTTCTACCATTCTAACTAGGACCTTCTGTTGTGTTCCCTAGTCACAGTTGTTGTTAGTGGTAGCCAGGCACCACTACCAGGCATTTGATTTTTCTGGTCTCAGGCTAGGGGAGGCTGTGGTTCATGTGGGCCATTAGTCCTGGGGACTAATTGCTTTCTTGAGTCTTTTGCTTCCTTGAGTCTTTCGTTTCCTTCATTTCATTCTCTTTTGTTCCAGATGGGAAGAGACCAGTAGTTGTATCTTAGATGACTACTTGTAAGCTTTTAAGACCCCGGATGTTACTTAGCAAACTAGGATGGAGCATTATCTTGATGAACTATGTTATGCCAATTGACCTAGATGTCCCCCAAAACTATTATCCTTAGCCTGCAAGCCTGGTAACCTCAGTCCCATGAGGTGTTTGATATGCCTAAGAATTTTCCATGATTGTCCCCCCGTGTGTGCTCTATTATATATTGTTGTTGTTGTTGTTGTTATGTGCCGTCGAGTCAGCCCTGACTCATAGCGACCCCTCCTTGGGTTTCCGAGGCAGTATCACTACGGAAGTAGGATTGCCCAACCTTCCTTCCGAGGAGTGGCTGGTGGGTTTGAACCGCCAGCCTTCTGGTTAGCAGTCAAGTGCCTTAGTCACTATGCTACCAGAGCTCCCCTATTATATATAGGAACATTTATATAGTACATATAACTGTGTATCTACAGATACCCACAACTGTACCTACATACATGTGCATGTACTCCCATGCACCCTCCCTTACCTGTATCACATACATGTTGTTGTTAGGTGCTGTTGAGTTGGCTTTGACTCACAGTGACACCTATGTACTACAGAATGAAACACTGCCTAATCTATAGCACACATAACTACCTATATAGCCACTCACAAATTTTTGGTTATTGTTGCAGAATTGTATGTATTATAGCATTTACTATGTTGTTGTTGTTATGTGCTGTCTAGTCAGACCCGACTCATAGTGACCCCTCCTTGGGTTTCCAAGGCAGTATCACTATGGAAGTAGGTTGCCCAGCCTTCCTTCCCAGCAGTGGCTGGTGGGTTTGAACCTCCAGCCTTCTGGTTAGCAGTCAACTATTTACTATAGTTGTCCTTTATTCTTGTGAATCTCAGTGTCTTCATTTACCTTGGTCATATTATTCTGACTTTCTTGTAGTGTAAATTGCCTTTCCCTTGCCAGAATTAACATGTGTCTGCTATCTCTGTCCTCCCCCTTCCATCCCTGGTATCCTCAGAGAGCACAGATTTCTATGTGTAAACCTATTCTTGACTTTTTATAAAAGTGATAATCATAGATTATTTGTCCTTTTGTAATTACTTTATTTCACTTAGCATGTCCTCCAGATTCATCCATGTTACATAAGATGTATCGTGGACTTATCATTATTCTTTATAGTTGCATAGTAGTACACTGTATATATATACCACATTTTGTTTATCAAATCATCCATTGATAGAGACTTAGGTTGTTTCCATCTTTTTGCTATTGTGAATAATATTGCAGTGAATATGGGTGTGCATATATCCATTCGTGCTGCTACTCTTATTTCTCTAAGATGTGTACCTAGGAATGGGATTGCTGGATCATAAGGTATTTCTATTTCTAGCTTTTTGAGGAAGCATCATACCATTTTCCATAGTGGTTGTCACATTTTACAATCTTACCAGCAGTGGATAAGAGTCACAGTGTCGCCAGCATTTGTTGTTTCTGTTTTTTTGATCATTGTCATTTTTGCAGGGGTAAGGATACTTGTCATTGTTAATTGTATGGTGTTCCATAATATGAACAATACTTTATTGTTTTCATAGAATTAAACTGATAAAAATCATTTAAATTTCAGTACGGCTAAAATGCCCCCCACCTTTCCCAAGATACTGTAACCAGTTTAGATAACAAAAATCTTCTCTTGTCATTGGACACTTCAGCCCATTGGCTTCAAATTATTTTGAATAATAAAATGTGGTTTATTTTGTTACTGTTCCAAGGGTTTGAAGATGATCTTTTGGAAGGTAGATATCAGAGTCCTTGTGGCTCCCACTGTGTGCTCACATCACTTGGATTTCCTGGAATCTGCTTTCTGATAAGGATGTGAACTCAGCTGGGTACCTGCCTCATTTTCCCTGATAGCAGCTGACTAGTTGATAAAAGCTCACTTGTGGGTTTTTTTTTTTGGGGGGGGGGCATATCTCTCTAGCTGCTGCTATGATTTGTATAGTGTGTATTTGGGCTGTGGGAGTGTTAGTTTGCCCTATGGTCTTTATTGCCAAGTCTGTTTATAAAACATGCACACACAAGTAATACACATCTATAAGTGCTTTTTTGGTCTGTTTCATGTATGGGGGATGTCTGGTAAATGGAATTTTTAGTTTGTTAAAAAAAGTCTGAATATGTTCTTATTTCATTACAGATAGGTGATCTTCAGCTTCGCAAGCTTGATGAACTAGATTGCTTAATAAAAGGGATTTTATATATTGACTCAGTTGGATTCAATGGACGATCACAGTGCTATTACTTTGAAAATCCTGCTGATTCTGAAAAATGTCAGAAGTTACCATTTGATCTGAAAAATCCTTATCCTCTGCTTCTGGTGAACATTGGCTCAGGGGTCAGCATCTTAGCGGTATATTCCAAAGATAATTACAAGCGAGTCACAGGTACCAGGTAGGTCTCTTATTGAAAAGTCATTGTTTATTAGTAATATCATAATAGGTTAAAACTGAGTTTTCAAGTGGTTTCTGTAACTACGTCTTTAAGACCATGTTAAATTTATGTGAAAGCTTTAATTCTAGGATTATGCAAACAAATGTTGTCTCTTTGAAAACTTATTTCATGACCTATTGCTTAATACCCTTAATGCTCAAGATTTTGTTACCGTAGTTACAAAATATCAGCAGACTCACTGACCTTATAGTCCTTGCCCTTAGATAGTTCATGATATGTTATATATAGGCTAACTAAAACTGCTACTAGGTAGTACCTCTGAGAAGGCAAGGCAGAGTCCCACAAACTTTGTATGTATGTACACACACATAGCCAAGGGATGGTGTGAGATCTAGAAATTGAGATACTGATAGAAAATGGATTGGGAAGGGTAGTCTGGGAGGTGTGAGGTAAGGTGGAAAGTGAGAAGGTATCTGTCTTGTTCACTTGAGGAAAATGAACTGGGGAATGGGATAAACATTTTCAAACAGGTGTGAGTTGCAGAATGAGAGGAATATATTGGGGGAGAAAATACATTAATGGAGGGGTTGTGGTAGGGTAGAGGGGCTGAGGAGCCAGAGTGAGAAGGTGCTTGGATGAGAATGACTCAGTGCATAGGCCTGGAGAGAGTTAGGGTGGAGGTGACAGCATGATCCCAGGTCACGGGATGGGCTAATCTGCACCTGAGGCTCTTTACATTCTGCAGAGACCTAGACTGCACCGGGGACAAGGGCCCAGTGTTTTGCCACTTTGCTTGTTGGCTCACATGAATATGTATTTGTCTTAGAGGCACCTTGTTACTGTCTGTATTCATTGACTTTTTACTGGTGGCATCTGTATGTATGAACATTGTTTTGGGGGTCGTAAATGTTCTCTTTCTGTTGCACTGATCGGCTTCTTTTCTTTGTTGTTGTTGTTGTTGATGTTCTAATACTGCATTTTTATTGTAATCACAGTCTTGGAGGAGGAACCTTTTTTGGTCTCTGCTGTCTTCTTACTGGCTGTACTACATTTGAAGAAGCTCTTGAAATGGCATCTCGTGGAGATAGCACCAAAGTAGATAAACTAGTACGAGACATTTATGGAGGGGACTATGAGAGATTTGGACTGCCGGGCTGGGCTGTGGCTTCGAGGTAAGGAGGATGTATATGTTCTAGAATAAACACAAATAAAATATTAAATATTGAGCCCATCTCTTTTTTAATTTTTAACAACTTTATTGAGATATAATTCAAATACTCAAATAAAGGTCACTTTCTTAAAGTGACAATTTAGTGGTTTCTAGTATTTTTATGGAGTCCCTGGGAGGTGCAGATGGTTAATGTGCTTTGTGTTAACTGAAAGATTGGTTGTTCATATGCACCCAGAAGTGCCTCAGAAAAAAGACCTGGTGATGTACTTCTGAAAACTCAGCCATTGAAAACCCTGTGGAGTACAGTTCTACTCTGACATACATGGGGTCATCCTGAATTGGACTGACTCGATGGCAACTGGTAGTATATTTTCAGGCTTGTACAACCATTACCATAATCTAATTTCAGAACGTTTTCATCATCCCAGAAAGAAACCTTGTACCCATTAGCTATCATTGCCCTGCTCCTTATCCTTAGTCCTTGGCAAACACTAATCTGCTTTCTGTTTGGTACATTTGCCTGTCTGGACATGTCATATAAAGTGTCATACAATATGTGCCTTCTTTGATTTAGCATCATGTTCTCAAGGTTCATCCATGATGTACTATGAGTCAGTACTTTATTGTTTAATAATTTTCCATTGGATGGATATATACCACATTTTACATATCCATTTATCAGTTGATGGACATTTGGGTTGTTTCTACTTTTTGGTTATTATCAATACTGTTATGAAAATTCATGTATAGCTCTTCATGTGGCCATATGTTGGATATATATCTAGGAGTGGGATTACTAGGTAATAGGGTAACTCTGTGCTTCACCTTTTGAGGAACTGCCAGACTGTTTCCCAAAGTGGCTATACCATTTTACAATCCCACCAGCAGTGTATGAGTATTTCAATTCCTCCACATTCTCCTCAACACTTGTTATTATTAGTCTTTTTGGTTTTAGCCATCTTAATGGATGTGATTTTAATTTGTGTATCCCTAAGGACTGATGAGAAGGAGCCCTGGTGGTACACTACTTAAAGCACTTGGCTGCTAACTGAAAGATAGGCAGTTTAAAACCACTAGCAGCAGGAAAAAGATGTAGCAGTCTGTTTCCATAAAGATTATAGCCTTAGAAACCCAGTGAGGCAGTTCTCTGCTCTATAGGGTTGCTATGAGTTAGAATCCCTTTGACAGCAACAAGTTAATAACTGATGATATTGAACATCTTTTCATGTGCTTGTTGGCCTTTTTTTTTTTTTTTTTTTTAATTTTATTGTGATTCATTTCATTCATTTTCCATACAGCAGTTCACATACACTTTGTCTCATGACATTGACTGTAATCTCCCACAGTGCAACAGCTTTCCTCCCCATAGCCACCTCTTCCCTGTGTCCTTCCCTCCCATGCATTCCTGCCCCCTGAGCTGTCTTCCTGTGCATACATAGATAGCCCTTCAATTCTCCCAGGATTGATCTCTCTAAGGAGTGTATCCACCTAATGTAAACATTCAGCTCACTCATATGCCTGTCTTTTGTTTGGCTGGAAGCCACAGGAATGGGTTCAATTCCAGATTTGAAGGGCAGCTAGGAGCCATAGTCTAGGGATTCCACCAGGCTATATAAGACCAGCAAACCTGGCCCCCCCTCTTTTTTTTTTTTTTAAATGATTTTGAGTTTTGCTCCACATTGTTCTCCCACTCTGTCCAGGATCTCCTACATAGATCCCCCTCTGAGTGGTTGACAGTGGTAGCCAGGCACCATCTAGTTCTTCTGGTCTCATAGTTGCATAGACTGAGGATTGCATGGTATACCGGTCGCTTGGACTAATTTTTCCATGTGTCTTTGGTTTTCTTCATTCTTTGTCACTCTGGATGAGGAGAGACCTATCATTGCATCTAGATAGCCACTTGCAAACTTTTAAGATCCCAGTCGCCAAAGTAGGATGTGGAATGATGTTTTTGTGTAGTATGTTACGTTATTGGCCATTTTTTGTGTCATCTTTGTAGTATTGTCTGTTCAGATCCTTTGCCCTTTTTTAAACTGAGTTATTTGTCTTTTAAAATTCAGTTATAAGAGTTGTAATTTACGTTTTCTGGATACAAGTCCTTTATTAGATAAAAAAAAATTTGCACGTATTTTCATTGATTGTATTGATTTTCTTTTCATTTCCTTGATAATGTCCTTTGATGCACAAAAGTATTTAATTTTGATAAAGTCTGTTTAGGTACTTTCTTTATTACTGCTTGTGCTTTTGGTATTATAAAAAAATCACTGCCTAACAAAGATTTACTTCTGTGTTTTATTCTAAGAATTTTAAAATTTTAGGTCAGTGATCATATGACCATTTTGCATATGATGTGAGGTAGGGGGGTCCAAATTCATTCTTTCTGGCATAGAGATACACAGTTGTCTCAGCACCATTTGTTGAAAACATGTTTTTCCTTCATGGAATTGTCTTGGACCCCTTGTTGAAAATCAGTTGTCCTTGAATGTGTGGGTTTATTTTTGGATTCTGAATTCTGTTCCATTTAGCTACACAAATGTTCTTATGCCAGTACCACACTGTTTTGATTACTGTAGCTTTGTGTATGTTTTGAAATTGGAAAATACGATTCTTCTAAATTTTTTCTTCTTTTTCAAGATTATTTTGGCTATTCTGGGTCCCTTGGGTTGCCATATAAACTTTAGCAGCAGCTTGTCAATGTCTACAAAAAAGGCAGCTGGGATTTTGATAGGGATTGTGTTGTATCTGTAAATAATTTGGAGAATATTTCCATCTTAACAATGATAATAAGTTTTCTGATCCAAGAAGATGGATGTCTTTCCATTTATTTAGAGCTTTACTTTATTTAAACAGTTTTGTCATTTTTGGTGTTCAAGTGTTGGATTTCCTTTGTTAAATATATTCCTAAGCATTTTATTCTCTTCTATGCTATTGTAAATGGACTTTTTTTTTTTTTTTAAATTTAATTTTGGATTGCTCATTGCTGGTATATAGAAATACAGTTGATATATATGTATATGTGTATACATGTATAGGAGTTCTGGTAGCATAGTGCCTAAGGCACTTGATGGCTAACCAGAAGGCTGGCGGTTCAAACCCACCAGCCACTCCTCGGAAGGAAGGTTGGGCAATCCTACTTCCGTAGTGATACTGCCTCGGAAACCCAAGGAGGGGTTGCTATGAGTCGGGGCCGACTCAACGGCAAATAACAACACAACAACAATGTATACGTGTATATTGGGGCACATAGTTTTTAATAATGGACAAGGCACTTATATGTACTTGCTTGTTTACAAACTTTAAGCACTTTGTAAATGCTGTGTGGAACCCTGGTGGCACAGTGGTTAAACACTTGGCTGCTAAACAGAAGGTCAGCAGTTTGAATCCACCAGCTGCTCTGTGGGAGAAAAGAGCTGGTGGTCTGCTCCTGTAAAGATTATAGGCTAAGAAACCTTATGAACTGGGATAGACTTGATTGGCACACAGTAACAGTAAAGCTTTTGGTTGGTACCTTCCACTCATTTGTAACACTTCCTTTTCTAATTGGTTGAGTTTGGTTCTGGTTCTGGTTCATAGCAGTTCTGCTGCCAAGTACTTTGAAACATTTTACCTTTTCTGGAATTCTGAAATGCTTCAGTAGTTCACTGTGGGCCTCAGCTGTCCACACTTTGCTTTGCTCTGATAAAGCAGTTTACCAGGTATGAATATGAGCCTCTGAGTAGCTAGAGCTGAATTAAAAGTGTCCTGGAACTGTTCCTGGTTCCATAGGGAGTAGTGGTGCCTTATAGTGGGTCTGGTGAGATCCAACTGAATGTGAATTTCTAGCACCAAAGCTAGACTTCAGTAGTAACCAGAAGGAAAGCCATCTGCTTATTCAGAACTTGGAGGAGCTCTTTGAAGCTGTTTTTTTTTTTTTTTTTTAAGTAGATACTCTATTGTTCTATCATAAGAAACTTGAAGGTCTAAACAGTGTTGCCTAGAAGTTAGTTTTGTCTCAGTAAAGGAACAGTCAAGTTCTGTTGGGCTATGTTACTTTGCTTTAGCAATGAGCAATCATCTTTTTTTCACTACAGCTTTGGAAACATGATGAGCAAGGAGAAGCGAGAGGCTGTCAGTAAAGAGGACCTCGCCAGAGCAACTTTGATCACCATCACCAACAACATTGGCTCAATAGCAAGAATGTGTGCCCTTAATGAAGTAAGGGGACATAGAATTCTTTTGTTGCTCTGAGAATTTATATTTTGCGTTTAAATAACTACAGAATTTACTAAGTGGACCCCACCTTGTGTATGATGTTTTCTCAGAATAGTGCCTAAATGATAGATGGGGTAGAGTTTGGTTCAATGCAGAGTTAAAAGTCTTTAAATGTAAATTAACCTCATTTGCTTTTCTTTCTTACTGAAGATGAACACTGCTGCTATCTAGAAGTAAAATTTTATCTTTTGAGGAGAAAGTACAGGAAAGTAGCAGCCAGCATCCCAGATGATGGGGCCTGTTGGGTGGTGATGGTGGGTAATGCTGCCGAATCTAGATGCCATGCTCATCGTGGAGCTCTAGAATCTCTGGGAAGGAATCCAGAGGAAGTCATTGACACAGGGAGAAGACTGAGCGGGCACAGGAGTGCCCACCCTGGCTGTACCTCCAGCTCAGCAGAGCTGCATCTTCGTGCTTTCAGCTTCTTTACAGTGCTGCCTTGTAGCATTCAGGTCAAGCAGCATTGTACAGGGCTATGAAAGAACCAAGAATGGGCTGCCCTTGGGGAAGGAGAACTTGGATCCAGTTGGTGCAGCTTTATAGCTTATTCCTATTTAGAAATTCTCTTTGAAATTATTCTTTTAAATAGATAACATGTGGCTTTAAAAAAGGAAACTTAAAAAGTAGAGCAGAGGTTTCTCTTTTAATTAAAAAGACATTGTGTTAGCTTGCAGTAGTTAAAAACATGTTTTCATTTGAATATCTTAGTAGTACTTTTACCTTTATTGCATGCTCTCTTTCCTGTGCTTATGTATTTTCATATATTTTAGTTTGTGTACCTATTTAACATACAAATTTCATGGGTGTAGTTCATGATGGAGTTCTTTTCATTTTAAGTCATTCACCTAGTGCTAGGCATTTGGTTGCTTCCCTATGATAACTCTGCAGTAAGCAAAAATGTCATGCTATTTTTTTTTTTTTT